TTTCTTTCTTTCTTTCTTTCTTTCTTTCTTTCTTTCTTTCTTTCTTTCTTTCTTCCTTTCTTCCTTTCTTCCCTCCCACCCTCCCTCCCTTCCTTCCCTCCCTCCCTTTCTCCTTTCTTCCTTTCTTCCTTTCTTTCATTTGTTTTTGGAGACAGGATATTTCTGTGTAGCCCTGACTGTCCCGAAACTCACTTCATAATCCAGGTTGGCTTTGAACTCAGAAATATGTCTGTCTCTGCCTTCCAAGCACTGAGGTCAGAGGTGTGAGCCGCCACTGCCCAGCCAAAGGCAAATTCGTACACAAAAACTACAAAATGGAAACTGGAGAGGTGGTCCTGGACCTTACAAGCTGGCAGATGGGCTCAGCTTCTGGGGTTGGAGACAGTAGCTAGAGGGAAGGAGCTCATGTCTTTGGCTTCTGTTTTCACGACAAAACCTGTTTCCTACAAAGCTACAAATCCTTGTTGGAGTTTCCTACGAGACCGATTTTCTAGTTTCCTTTGCGATCTAAGAGCCTGGCATTTAGAGAACTTCCATATTGTGGGAGAGAGGTCGAACCTGTTACACCTGTGTGCTTTGGCAATTAAGAAATAATCATAGTAAAGGGGCTATTCAAATTTAGGTGTGGTGCCCACGCTTCCTCGCAGAGTTTCAAGATTTTCCACAATGGACCCTCAGTTCAGGACTGAACAAAACTCTGAGCATCTGTTGACTTATGACTCTGCAAACTTCTGGTTTGCTGCCCCTCTCTGTCACTGGGATGCTGATCTAAAAGACGTTTGAGAAGAATAAAAGACTGATTTGGGCAAGGAAGAGGTGACAAGTGGGACTCCAACTGCTTAGGCTTTTTGTTCTCTGCACACAGCTAGAATATGTCAGGAAGAGAGAGAGGCGGGGCAATCAATGGGCAGATGATAGCAGATGATATATGTGCCTGATTCATGGGGGATCTTTGGCAAGTACACATTGCGTGACTGAAAAGTATTTCCATGATTAGGCAGTAATTTGCATATGTTAACTGTAAGACAAGTGAGATTATGCACAAAGATGATGATATTACACTATTTTGACAACTTGGGTGAGTCTCTAAAACAGCGGTTCTCAACTTGTGGGTTGTGACCCCTTGGGGGGGTCATATATCAGATATCCTGTATATCAGATATTTATATTATGATTCATAACAGTAGCAAAATTATAGCTATGAAGTAGTAGTAAAAGATTTTATGGTTAGGGGACCACCACCACATGAGGAGCTGTATTAAAGGGTCACAGCCTTCAGAAGGTTAATACCCACTGCTGGAATGGATTTCCACCTATTGACCTTGAAATGGCCACTGCTGATTTAAAGGCTTGACTGGAACCCAAATCTTTAGGGTCATTGATGATATTTGTCTTTAGAGGTAATGACTTACCCTTATGACTACCTGTAACTCTAAAATAGTGGATCGTGGATAAAGGAAACCAACCACCTTAGTGTCATAACCTGCTTTAGAATGGAATAAAACACATATTCATCGTGAGAACTGGTGGGTAAGCAGAGCCTCAACTGAAAGTTTCGCTCAGAGTAATCCATTAAATTTCTGCAGGATGCTAATTTGTCTCGTCGTGGCATACGGGATCCCGTTGGCTCACTCACGAGTCTCAGACCAATATTTCACGGAGTCAGAAATCGTTCCTCTTCCCACACACTTACCCCCGTGAAGCCCTCCAGAATCCCAGGACATTCAGCAGCGTCAAGGATGCCAGCACGAAGAAGAAGCCTTCTAAATTGCCTTTGTTTAATGTGTTTGGAAACCAATTGCCTGTTTGGAGCAAACGTGTAATTGTTATTCAGCTGCAGAGTTGCAAGTTTCTGTGAATATTTTATTATCCTGAGATTCACAGAGAACTGTTCGCCTCCGTAATATAGCCTGCATAAGAAAGCTCGTTTGAAACTTCTTTACCAAAATTCATTTAATTCCGGAAAAATAGAAAAATAACAAGCAGCGCACTCCGTCATATCGGGCTTAAAAGGAAGTAGCGCCTTTCCCTGGGTTTTAGGGTAATCTCGATCGTGATATTAATTTGCCTCATCTATGCCTGTCTCCTTCATTCTAGTTATTCTCAAATCTCTGTGTTTAGTATTGTGCCTCACATATGGAGTAAACACATTCTGAATGACTAAAAGCTCTTTCCTGTGATCAGATTGTCTTCTGCGTGTCTATCTGTACGACCAGTCAGATGACCCACGGAGATGATGGATCTCACACCTTTTAGCAAACAGTGAAGCCAGGGTTCTCTTACGGTATGTGCTGCACATGTTGGGTAGACAGCACTAGCCTCTGATTGAGGCAGAGATTTCTTTGGACCTGATGATAATTACTCTAGTTAAAAAAAAAATGCAACAAAGGGTCTTGGCTTCCTTAGAGCATCAGACTGAGTATTTATGGAATCACTCAACGTTCGAGGAAGTTAATTTGCTACTAAGTTTTAACTCTTGATTTTGGGCTTTGCTATGTTTCCCCCCCCCCTCTTTCTACATCTGAATCAATGTTTATTCAATGTATGCTTTCTGCGTGTGTGCATATATGTGCATATTCCCATGTGGTAGGGGCATACACGTGCCTGGAGAATATGTGTAGTGGAAGTCAGGGGGTAACTTTGAGTTAAGTCAGGCTTTAGGCTCCTTTAAGCTTTTGGTCAAAACAGGATCCTATTGGCCTGGAACTCTGCCATGTAGGCCAGGCTAACCCGAGAGCTTCCAGTGTCAAAACACGGTCAGAAGACTGACTCATGGGGAGCATACCTTGGAGCACTGTGAGACAGGCTCCAGGGTAAAAGGCAGAGGGCCTTTATCTCTGTGCTGGTCAATTGTTTTATGGTTGATGGAGAGGCAGGGATACTTATCGTTAAGCAACCGGCATATAAGAACGGTAATGCTGTGTGCCAGACTGCCTTCCATCCCTTTAGAAAGAACAGAGATCTTAATGGTTCCATCTGCCTCTGTGCTGATATTGAGCCTGGACCCTGTACTCTGCCTATGACTACCTATTATCTCACCATTTCTGGGATTATAGGCTTGTGCCACCTTCATGCCTGCCTTTTGTGTGGGTTCTAGAGCCCTGATACACTTCACCTGCAGGACAAGGGCTTTACCACCTGAGCCATCAACCCAGCTTCCTCAGTGGATGTGGATGTACTACTCACTATTCAACATACTACACAAAATACAGCATGCATGTTATAAACATAATACCCAATTTTAACCAATACTCTAAAACCAGAAATATGGTCCAGGATTGTGGAATGTTTAAAAGGAAACTCTATTATTGTAGGGAAGGTCCATCTGCAGTTCTGAGTGGCTGGAAAACCGGATACAATTTGGCATTCTGAAAACAAGACGGTTTGAGTGCCAGTGTCTGGGTCTCCTTCCCTCTTAGAGTCACGGCTTCCAAGGTGTTACTGCAGGAATCTGGAATCATAGCAACCTGTGTCTGTGCCGAAGGTCTTAACCTTCAGTGCAACACTTTGTACCTACTACAGGATGCTTCTGGAGCTACAAGGTGTCTCCCTGGGAGGTACACACTTTCAGGTTGGATTTGACACTTTCAGGTTGGATTTGGGTTAAATGTCCTGCTAGGTTAACAGCCTCACTAAGGCAGCTGTGATTGAGTGTGCCTCTTCCCATTCAGTTTTTTTTTCCCTCTCTCTCCTTTCTAAAAGAGAATGTCTAACAACAAATGAGCAAATGTCTTTGTTCTTTGGCTCTGACAATCCTTTCTGCCCTCTCTCTCACAGTGTTTCCCATGCCTTAGGTGTACACACTATGTGGTACATTTATTACTGGGGCCAGGCTCCCCATGGTCAGCAGAGCTCTGCATTCTGAACAGCTGTAGTTTCTGTAATGGTCTCAGTTTGTTGAAAAACAGACTAATCAAAAAAAAAAAAAAAGGGACATGTACTTGAGAGCTGGGCAGGAGTTATAGATACGGGAAGGGTTAGGAGAAGGGATGGGAGATGAATATGATCAAGAAACATTGTATGGAATTATCAAAAAATTAATAAAATAAATTTTAAAAGATTCATCATCACAAAGAGGGTTGATCACAATAAAAGTATTAGAAAAAAAAAAGCTGCTGTCATTTAACTTCCCAGCGGAACATACTGTGGTACAACCATGGAATTATGTTATGGAATTATTGTGTCTGTTTCTTGAACCCCATAAATAAAGTTGTTGCTGAAATCTCAGCTCATGGGGCTGAGGCAGCAGCAGGCTTCTTAGGAGGCTGAGGACAGTCTGGGCTGCCATTCCAGAACCTATTTTCAACGGAAAGCATATAGAGCTGTTTTATAGGTTTTACTACCTCATCTAACGAATTAATTATTATTATTCAGATTGTGTGTATATGGGTGTTTTGACCTCACATACATGTGCATTCAGTACTCTAGAAGACCAGAAGAAGGTGTTGTATCCCCCGGGACTGGAGTTACAGTCATGAGCTGCCATGTGGGTGCTGGGAAACAAACCCAGAACCTCTGGAAGAGCAGCCAGTGCTCTCACCCACCGAACCATCTCTCCAGCCTTTCTTCATCTTACTAATTTGTGTACCCGTATAAAGGAAATGCCTGATTCTGTTGCTATAGTGATATGATGACGTCTTCATCTAGTGTTTGGATGAGTGGTTGAACCGAGTATCTTCCTGTTTGTGAATGAATATGGTAGCACCGTTTCTCTCTTTTTCTTCCTTCTCTGCATTTCTGGGTGTAACATGAAGGGCTGGGCCTGCTTGTTTGTGGGTTTCTTTCCTGCCCTGTCCCCCAGCTGTTTAGTCCCAGAGAAAAATCATACTGAGATCTCTATAAGTTATAAAGCTGATTGGCCCATTAAGTCAGGCTACTTATTAGCTAACTCTTACATCTTGATTAACCCATTTTTCGGATCTATTTTAGCCATGTGACTCTGTACCTTTTCCAGTGGGGCAGCTCACATCCTGCTGCTTCGGTGATCTGGACAGGAGTGGGAGGAATCAACTTCCTCCTCCCCAGAATTCTCCTGCTCTCTTTGCATCATTTCCACTTCCTGTCTGGTTTTCCCGCCTATACCTCCTGCTTGGCCAATCAGCATTTATTTAAAACATGGTTGACAGAATACAGACAATTCTCCCACACCACTTCCCCCTCTTTTTTTAAAAAACAAAGAAAAATATCCATAGTCCATTTTTTGGGAATGTAGGCGTAGTATTCCAGGCTACTTCCAGCTGGTTGGGGGCGCTGATAATCTTATGGTGGTATTTGTGAGTTATTGTTTATAGATAATTACATCGGCATAGATTTTTGTATATGGATACAAAGTTAAATTATATTGACTATTGTATGTATGCATGCTTCTACCTGTTTAAAACATTTTTAATGTATTGATATATATTGTATTGATATATGTATACCATATTGCAGTGTACATTTCTACCTCTGATTCAGATACTCATATATTGTTTATGTATTGATATTTATTGTTTACATTTGGAGGTCATTGTCCTCATTTATTGCACAGTTGTTTATTCTCTTAGTCTTTAAGTTAGATACATGTTAAGAATTGTAGATCAATAATCATCTATGTCTGTCATATTTATGGTTAGACTAATCAGGTTCTTTAGATACATAGAGATTATATATAGTCTTCAACCTTTTCGAAGAGCTGTAGAAAATGGCATTTAATTTAATCTTAGAGTTCTGTGTAATGAGACACAATCACTCCTGGCAACACCGACCTATTCCCGAGAGATTGTTGAGCACCAAAGACATTCCACTTGGAGTTTGTCTTCTTGACAAAACTGGCCTCTGGACAAGGAACTGCCCATACCTCAACTACTGACAAATACACAGTATCCGGAAATGGATAAGCAGAATTGTCAAATCTTACCAAGACAGGGTAAGACGGTTTTGAAAAATCTCTTGCCTGTTAAAATCCGGAAATGGATAAAATCCGGAAATGGATAAACAGAATTGTTAAATCTTGCCAAGACAGGGTAAGATGGTTTTGAAAAATCTCTTGCCTGTTAAAAATAATCTGTCAGTTATTCTAGGCCTTAGTCAAAGTTGGTTGCTCCAACACTGCAAACAGGTGTTTGGTGATTGCCAGTTGTCTCTGTGATTTGTTGCATGTTTTGGAAGTTCTTTGATTGCACTTCCTAATTACTCAGGTAGTATTATTTCCCTTCTCGGATCTTCTATGGGGTTGAAGACTAGATAAATGTAGCTACTTTCCTCTCATGATTTGGCCAAGTTATTTATTATACAAGACTTTAGCTAGTTAGAATAGGATATTTGTACTTATTATATATAATTTTGTAGGTTTGTACTTACTGTATATAATTTCGTAGTAGGCTTAGAACTCTCTTACTTAAACAAAAGGGGGAGGTGCTGCGGGAGTACCTTCTGCTGCTTCAGCCAATAGTCACTGAAGCATGAGCCCACAGTGCTGTGGAGCGCCTTCCGCTCTGTCAGCCAATAGCCACTGAAATACCAGCCCACTGGGGCGTGGTATATTTCTCTTTAAAAGAAGAGTGGCAAGCCTCGGTTAGGCCTCTTGGTTCCGGTGCTTGGTTCCTGCTCCTGCTCCAGTGACTAGGCTCCTTTCCTGACAGTTGATGTGCATGTAAGTTTACCCCCCAAAATAAATACCCCTTTAAAACATAACTGGTGTGGGATTGATTCGCCATTACGGGGTCTGGCTCTGTCCCTCTGTTCCCCACCTCTTTCTTCTTTCTTCGGATTTCTGTGTCCGTCTCTCTGTCCCCCCATGTGTGTGCAGTGAGTAAAGCTG